GGGGAGAGGAGGGAATTATTTTACCAGAATCCCACTTGTAACATCACAAGTTAAGCAAATTTGAAACACAGCATTTTTCTCAGTGTTGTAAGACTTATGCAGACCACAAACAAAGGACTAGATGGGTTTATTTCACATTTTGTGGGTCGGTAGACACTCAAGTTACCCAAATAAATGTTCAAAAACACTGTCAAACACTGATAATCATGTTCCCTAAATGATTATCTTTTATGAATTTCATTCAAAAATTATTAAATATTACAAGTGAATTTGAACTTTTTTCTTTCACTTATGCAGTCATAAGATGACAAGTTATTCGGGAAGCTTGGAGATATCTTGCCATGTTCGACTTTTAATGGTTTCCTATCACACAAAAAAAGTATTCTGAAAGCAGACTGTAGTGAGTATGTTATATAAATGAACATCAAATGTCAAAAAATACATACCAGAAGCACTCTAGCTCTTGTGTTTGAGTTCATAATTCTTGTATGACCGATCCATGTGGCCATCAAAATGCTGTCAGCTGTGATGGTAACCAAAATGCATCAGCCTTTACAACAGATGTTATAAATACACATCTTACCTCTCAAGTACAGCAAAATGCTTTTACGCTGTGACAGAACTGTATGTACATGTCCCCTTTATCGCAAGGCAAACGTGCCAGACCACTTTGCTGCTCCACAATCTGCATGTTCTGAATATGCATCAGGCAGATGAGGGCATGTACTGAGTGGATGCAGCATCTGTGTCTTCTTTGTTTCCGATGAGTAGACCATTTCCTGATGCCCGGTGACAAGCTCGGCGGTCTACATCAGAGGCAGGTTTCCAGCCGGGTGGCGTACAATAGGAAACACCCTCATTATGCTGTTGAGGGGTGCACTGCTCACAATGACATGAACATGGCACAGCGAACCAACGTGTCAAACTTAACTTCTGAATTGGACATTGTAAGTGTTTGATCTGCATTCCACCATCATTTATCCCATATGGTCACCTTTGCCAGTAGTTTAAAATAGGAAGAAACTCAAAATCAAAGAGGGCTTTGTAGTAAGGTGAAAGAATGCTCTCTACAAAGGAAAAAATGTGAAGTGTGAAAATAACAAAGAGCACTGACTACTCATATAATACCCTCTCCCACTCACTGATATTGCCTGTGCACCGCAGCCTTTCCAGTTGCCTCAAACTCCATTTCTGTAACCTTTTGTGGAATGCGGTGGAGGATCAATGAAATTGCAATGGCTGTAGTGCTACATATTGATCGTAGGTTGTCTGCGGCTGCAATCAATAACCTGTAGATATTACTGGGGACCAGGGACCGAACAATCAGCCCAATCCCATAAGGCCTTAACTATGTGCTTTCCACATAGGCTTGCCATTAACAGATGATTGCTTGGCTTGTGAAACGCTCAATAACAAATCTAAAGGCACTCGTAATGATAAAAGTTACTTTGTTGCTTTGGCCAGAGTTCCACAGTGCTGAATGTCACAGTGCTTGTCAAAGGGACATTATATAACTTATGCTGTTTATTCACCCATGTCATTTATTGAACTCTTAAAGGAAGAGATAACATGCCAGTAGCTTGGCTAATGTCACATGTTTTAAGAGAAAAAGGTGGAATATCAGCATACTCCTTCCTTGTGTGCATTAAAGTTGAAAGATAATGAAACCTTACTGACTTTGCAGTTAAATAATGGTTAGATTGCTTTATATTTCTTGTTTCTTTTTGCTCGTCCTACATGTTACTTGTGCAAGCCAAGGTTGAATTGGACAAAGGTAGTGTTGGGCACTTCTGAGGATATCATTAGGCAGCATTTGATTCAAACTCTGATAGCAGTTGAGGTTTTTTTTGGTTCATGTAATTGAAAACTGATTGACATGCTGATCTTTGATGTGTGGGTCTGACTAAATAAACAATTTTTCTTTTTACTGAAAGCAAAGCAGTCAAGCGGACTTCCATGTCCAGATTAGCTACACTACTCTCTGTGGTACAGGCTGGGGATTTCATGTGATCCATACTTTGTGATGAAGACAGAGACTGACTCAAACTGGATGAGAACAGAAGAAAAGGTGACAGTGATGGATGGGTTAGAACAAAGGGATGAGATATGTGCTCTAATAGTCACAATCATGTCAACAAAAAAAGTAAAGAAATCTTTTCATGGGGATATGATGAAATATTGGGACAGGCAGACTAGGAGGTAAAAGAAATATGAATGCGGGGGGTGGGGGGGGGCAGAGTAGTCTACCACTGTGCTGATCACAAAAAGGAAGATGAGGATTGAGCCGGGTGATATTCTGTTAGTCTTTTATTTTGTGTTTTGTGTTCACTTCCTGTTTTACTTTGTAATCTGGTGCTTTTGCATAATATCTAGTCTTACTTCCTGCCAATGTTCTATTTCCCGCCTTTTGTCCCAACAACCTGTGTCTCAGCTGAAATTAGTAAGATTGTCATTGTGTCTGTAGTGTGTTCATGCTTTCCAGCCTTGTTTTCCTTGTGTTTTAGGGTGCAGTTTTGGACATTGTTTGGATTTTGGATTTGGTGGATTTGCCCTTATGGGATTTTTCTGCCCTTGCTAACTGCCTATCTGTGTATGACCTACAAACATGTAAGTAAATAGTTTTTTCTTATAATTTTTTTTGTGTGTCCTGGACTCTCCTCTGTGTCTGGGTGTGGTTTTGAATTGTTACGATTTAGGGATTCCGTCACTTTTTAAAGCAGGCTTAAAAAATGTCTATTCATCTTGGCAGAATAAAGATCAATATACAAAACCCAATCTTCCAAGGAATCCTTTTAATCACAGCAGGATCACCTTCTTAAGCCCCACTGATTAAGGCTCATGACTGATGACTGTCAGCTAAATGAATTGTTGTATGTTAGCAATCAGGTTCATAAACAAATAGTGAATTGATTTGCACATGTTCACTTAAATCATGATCTGTAGAGAAAGCTGTGGAAAAAAAATACCAGGCTACTTGGTCACACCTGTAATTCAGGTTATAATGAAACCGCTTTCCTTAGATACAAGTAAGGGATGCTTTAAAGAAAAATGTTGGGAACCAATTCTCTAGAAATTAGATACAGATGGATTGCAATTTTTTGGCTTCTTAATGACTCACATAGCCACTATCAGGATCCTTTTACATCCGTCAGATTGTTTTAATCAGATATACAAACTCATAGTTGTTTGTCACCACAGAAGCTACATGCTCACTTTAATTATGAAGTCATAATGTTTGTGTGAGTCTGTGTTCAACAGTGGGTGCAATCTTTTTCCCAGGCAATAATTACTCCAGTGTTTGTATCTATCTCGCTCTTTGTTCAAGTTGAGCTTAATAAATATGTTTGATTGCAGTAACCAGGTCTTTTGTGTCTTCATGTAGAACTTATTGCAATTAAATAACAGCTTTTAAAGGCTGCTGTATCTTTTTGGCAACCAATTATTCACATTTGATAAGCAACATATCACTCTGTTTATCAGTTTCTTCATTTGTAAATGATTCTGCTGACAAACCATTAGCAGGCATAGTGCGGCTATTGACCTGGAATGTTACAGTCTGGTGCTCATTGTTCTGTTGCTTGAGTTTTCTTGATAGTTGGATAACTTTCCCTAATTGTAACCCGGAAAACAAGTCGAATTGCAGACAAAACTAAAACTGTTTGGACCAATGTTTGACATGGGAAGAAACATCAACTTCAAAATAGTACCTTTCGTTTTTTCTTGTGCAAGGATCAGTGCAGCAGACCTAATATAATAGATTGTATGCAGCATGTGTTAGCCACTGGGGAAATAGCTGCCCTTACATCCAGAAAATGGGAAACCTAATCATTTTTGATTTATTGATTAATGACCCCTTTAGTCACACAACCCATGGCAACAGAATGCAGCAGGTATTGAACGCTGACTGAGCCATTCAGAACATTTACTTGCTGTTAGAAAAAGTCGATTTATTGTTATAGTCCGACTGAGACAGGACTTTCAAAGTGTAGACATGTTAGCCCGACTGAAATCATAACAAGTCGAATTTCTCAAAGTCGGACTAAGACACCTTAATAACGCGGTTGAGGACCGATTTACTCTAACATGTTTATACATGTTTATATATATATTATGTATCATAAGCTAGAGGGAAAGCATGCAATGCATTTGTACCAAAAGTTAAGCGCAGAATATGTACAAAAACCTTACGTTTTCACTGTTCGACCTATAACCAGTTTGCCTGTTGCTAGCTTTGGAGTAAGGTCAACCAGAAGAAGGTAACTAGCTGAAAGGGGGTATATCGCCATCTACCAACATAATCCGGTTAAATTCCCAAGTGTAATTATGCAATCTGTTCTACATGAAAGACACACTGGACATCACTGTAAGGATTTAGCATCATCGGACAGCAATTGCACAATTGAGCACAACATATATTGTATTTATGTTGGGCACTTGTGGTGAAGGTCTGATAATGAGTAACAGTTATCAGTGTTTCCCCTACCATTATATTGGGGGGGGCGAGAAACCTTCTCGTGCGCACGAGAAACCTTCTCTTGCGCACCACATATAAGGTGCACAACGGAAACCAGCCAGTCTTAGCCTTCTGTGGTCTTGTGATAAAAATGTCAGTACAGGACTTAGTTGAGCTATATTTTAACCTTGGACTTAATTACAAGGACATTAAAGTCTTGTCATCTGTTTCGGCGCAAGGGATACACCTGTTTCCATCGGGTAATAGCTTTCATTAATGAACAATTACAAACATCGGGCCAACTCCATGGATGTACACAAAATGCAAGGAATATGGATTACACGTCAGGAAAGAAGACGTTCGTTTAATCCTGAAAGAACTTGACCCAAGAGGTGTCGAACTCAGAAGAACAAGATGGCTGCATCGCCGAAGCTACTTTGCCAAAGGACCCAATTATATTTGGCATCTGGACTCATACGACAAACTGAAGCCATTTAGCATCTGTATTAACGGCTGCATTGACGGATTTTCGCGGAAAATCGTCTGGATGAATGCATTTACAACAAGCAGTGACCCCAAAATAGTTGGAGGCTACTACTTGGAGGCAGTCGAGAGACAAGGGGGGTGTCCAAGGATTGTCAGAGGCGACCGGGGTACGGAGAATGTCAAAGTCCGAGACTTTCAGCGTTTTCTCCGTCTGAATCTACAGGACACGTCTGCTATTGACAGCTACATTGAAGGGGCAAGCATGGCTAACCAGAGGATAGAGAGCTGGTGGGGCTTCCTCAGAAGGGAATCATTGGAGTTTTACATCGCTCTGTTTGTTGATCTGAAGGACCGGGGTTTGTTTGACGGTGCTTTTTTGGACAAATGTCTAATTCAGTTTTGCTTCATGGCCATAATCCAGGTAAGCCAAAAATGTACTATCATGCTGTGATGTTTTTTTTTTACTTTCCGCCTTCCGTGTTTCTAACCAATTAGCATATTTCGTTTTTAAGCTATATTAATGTAAATATGATGAGTGTTTAGGGGCTAAACATTTCATGTGAATTGTGTTAGATGATGATAATGCATATCCATTATTTATCAAAAACCCCACCACTAGTAATTGTGTGATTGTCTTCTGTCAAAAGGCCCTCCAATTTTTCTAGTTCATGGTGGGCCTTAGTCCTGCATGTTTTAGAAGTTTCCCTGCGCCAACACACTGATTTGAGTCATTACCTCATCATGTTGATGATGTGTTTTAGCAGGGAAACTTCTGAAACATGGGGCAGATGCCCACCAGGACCAGGGCTAGAAAAAGCAGCTACTGGCTGTCCTGTGTTTTCCAACAAGTTAAGGGCCGATGTCTGTGACCAAAAACAAAAACCAAGGCAATAATACAAATAACAATTATGGTATACAGTGTTTTCTACTGAAGCTCTTACCAGTTGAGAACACACAGCTACAGATCCTTTTTAATCACTCAGACAAAGACAAAGACATCAGCAGATCAGAAGATTATGGGACAAGTTAGTGCTGGAAGAGGCAGTCAAACTGTTCTAAACAAGATATTTTGTACTTTTTATTGTACAGCACATGCACAGCAGTGAAAGGAGAAGTTGGGCACATATTTACAAATTGTATTTACAATTTTCGAGCATGTGCAATTCTATCAACCACATAAATTGAAACAAACTCATGTTTGAAATAGATTGGATATAATGTTTAGACCATATTGTTAGTCTCAGTGATAGTACAATACACAATCCACAGATAGCAGGCTGAACAGCTAAGGTATAGGCCATTGTTATGAACCTGTCTAGGGGGGCAGGTTTGCAACATAAAAAACCCCAGAAAGTTACTTCCCCGGTCCCCAAACCAAAATCAAAAATTAATCTTGATTAACAAAGATTTATTTTCAACATCAATTCAAACAACTATTAACAAAGAACAATCTCTAAACTTAAACAAAACCAAAAACAGGAAACAAAATGAGCACAAAAGAAAAAAGGCAATAAACTGCTTCTCAAACCAAAGATTTGCTCAAATAAGAAAAACACAATTCAGAGCTAACAGAACTTAAAGAACAAGGCTTTTAACAATCCTGTGAGACAAAGTCTAAAGTCTAAGTTGGAGGCCGAGGAATAACGAATGCTGCTGCTGTCAGTTAACATGCGCCGCTCCTCCTGAGAATCCCAGCAAGCCTTATAGAAGTGACACCACTCCCGACCAATGACGGCGGTGTCCTCCCTCCAGCTGATTGAGTCCTCCAACCAATCCTCGATCTCCACCTCCATTCTGCATCAATCCTCACATGCAAAACACACAGAGGTCGCACTCCTACACACACCACAATACAATACACTTAAATGAGCTACAATTAAAAAACAATATAAAATAAATGCATTATTTTTACATCATATATCAAAGTCATTGTTTTTTAGACTGGTGTGACAGAACTAACAAATCCCACCACCCATAAAGAAGGTGGTAAGTTTATTATTTTAACCGGCCAACAAACTACAGGCTGAGACAACAACAGAGTGATGCATTTTGAGTGAACTATTCCTCATTCATGGCTGTGTTGGGGTAATGCATTACAAAGCAATGCACCACTCTTACCTTATTACTTTTTAGTTGTAACAAGTTACATAAAACATTTGTTTTGCATTTCAAGTAATCGGTTATTATTTAGAAGTGTAAGTGGGTATACTCTATATAGCTACCTGCATATACAATCCACTAAACCGTTTCCTCTAGTTATGATGTTGATTAGATATGACAGAGGGAAATTACCTTCACTGGCCTGTTCTCTGTGGGCTCAAAGTCCGAAGATATGTCAGACAAAATGATGGAGTCATCTTGAGGGGAAACTTTTTCCGGGAGCAGGTGTAGATGCGTAGCATTCGTGGATTAGTCTGTTTGTACAGCTGGTTCACTGTGCTTTCAAGGGGTACTGTGGTGTGACTAAAAAGCCGAATATCAAACTTGAAGTCTTCTATTGGTCCTTTAGAAGAACGTCCATTTGGGAAAAACAGGTCTGTTACCAATCTGTGAGCTGGAGCTGTCCGAAAGAGTTTCAGGTGCGCACGCGAAAGTTTCTCGTGCACACTAGAAAACTTTCTCGTGAGCACGCAAAACTTTCTCGTGAGCACCGATTAGTTTCTGGTGCTCACGAGAAACATATATTTTGATTTTTTTCAGTCTATGTCCCTTTAGGGGCTCCGTAAAAACCTGACTATTTATGTATTTGTTTTTATTTTGACAGGGACAGTACAGCCAATTAGCTGTACCAGAGTTAGCTACGAGGTAATTCACATCTGTAGTCCCTGAGTATTCTATAGTCTGTAGTACCTGGGCATAAACATTATACATGTGGTTTCATTGTCGATCAGTCGGACAAGGTAGTCCCACCAGTGTTCAAATCAATCAATGCTTCAAGGCTATGAACCAATGATGTCATGTAGCAGCCTGCAGGAAGAGTTTGGGTTTAGAAGAGTTCATCAAGTAGTCTCTGACATCTTACAGAGGATGCAGAGGTCTACACTATCCTCATGTGCGTAGCTTCTGTGGTGTTGCACAATGTTCTTTTCATGCTGGAGGTCTGCCTTCCAGCACAAAATCCAAGAATCAATTCCTGAGGACTTATTCACCGACAGAGACCCGTGTGGTTATTTATCTGTCAGATGATTATAGTTCCTGCTCTTCATTTTGAATTGTACCCATGCTGCTATTTACCTTTTTCCACCCCCAGGACACAGTCTGATGGGAATCGCTGAGACACAATTTATGTGTTTTATATCAAATACCATTATTCCAATTTAATAAGCTTTGCTGCTATTTAGTCTTTCTGAAGTACGTTGTCAGCTAAGGGAACGTTTGCAAATCTGTATTGATGACTTTTTTAAAGACTAAACCAAAACTGTGAAATAAATTCACTGGATAGTAGTCATTAATATTTAAAGTGGTGTCTCTTTGCTTTCTTAAAATGCGACAGGGGCATTAGCTGATTAAAGATATCGTTATATGAAGGTAGTGGAAATGCTGCTATAACTCTTACCCTGTAAGATTGGGCTGCACACTGGCCAAAAACATTCTATTTCCTGCGGTCCTTTTATTGCATCCTGCCAGCACATTAGGTCTGTATTTGGACTTGTGGAGCTAAGCTGTGTACATTGACCTTATTAAAGAAGCAGCTGTTACCTTTTGGGTCATAAAATGAAGCTAAGGACAAACAAACGATGTTATTCCAGCACAAACATTCTCATAAAGAATTGCAATTTAGCAGAACTGTCTCATGGTTTGTGTCGATTAGAGCTGTCAGTAACTCCACTCTTTGCCAATGAATCTCAGCTTTATTAATGGATGATAAGATGGACAAATGGGGAAACTTTTCTAGTTTATTGTGAAGTCCTGAATTGACAGAGGTTGTAGCAGTTTCACAGTCTAAGAAATATTCCTCTGTGGGGCAACCAAGCAAGTGCAGCTCATCTAGATTGGATAAGCCTCTCGAAATTATCCTGTGAAATGGCTCCACACCTGTATACACACTTTTTTCACATCATACAGTTTAATATTGAAAACAAAATTGATAAATTAGCAGTAGCAGTGGTTGGCGATGTCACACCACAGTGAGGAGGTTTCTAGTTCAAATCCCCATCGGACAGGAGCCTCTCTGTGGAGTTTGCATGTTCTCCCTGTGCATGGATGGGATCTCTCCGGCTTCCTCTCACAGTGCAAAGACATGCTCCTTAGGTTAACTGGTGACTCTAAAATTGCCCGTAGGTGTGAATGTGAGTGTAGCTGGTTGCCTGTCACTATATTACAGCCCTGTGATCGACTGGCAAACAGTCCAGGGTGTACCCCGCCCAGTGGCAATTCTAGGCTTGTTGGGACCCTTGGCAATAATCCATTGGGAGGGCCTCCAACCAGCATTCATCACCATCATGTCTGCCAGAGTCCCTACGCAGACTCCTCTTCCTCTTTTTGTTCCTCTTTTTTTTTTTGTTGAATCTCATTGACTAACTTTGGTTTTCACAGCCATCTCAAAGGCAACGAGAGTGGGTGCTGTCAGACAGGACCCCCTTAGGGAGATTTCCTACTGTCGTTGAAAACATTTGAACATTGCTTTATTTAAGTTTGTGAGCCTTCAGGGGCCCCCTACTGGTCTGAGGCCCTAAGCAGTTTCCTGCCTTGCCTGTTGACAAGCAACACCTCTGACACCGCCTTTCGCCCAATGACAGCTGAGATCGGCTGTAGCCTCACGCGATCAAATACGGGAAAAATAGTTATAGATAATAGATGGATGGATGGGAGAAATAATTTAATTAATATAAATTATTTATAGAGCAATGTTGAATAGAAAAAATGATAAAAGGTCCGTGTACCTTCCGTTCATTCTATTTCCAATGCTGAAACGCAAATCGGAAAACAAAAAAACAGGCATTTTTCTTTTTCAATATATGTAGCAGATTTTAAAACAAACAAACAAGAGCCGTTTTCCATTAAAATATAGCCATAAAATTGGATTTTGTGTTGTTTTCCTACTATGGATTTTTATATTCCCAGATAAACACGTAGAATCCAATCTATGTTGATCCAAAATGCAAAAATGCGGGGATATCTGTATTATTACCGGTATTATAAGGAGAACCGGAAGCAGTGTTTTAGCTTTTTTTCCCGTGATTAGCACGTCTTTAGCACAACAATAGCAGATTCGGTTGGCAGGAGTCTGAAGGCTGGACGAGATGGTGTCACTCAAGCCCTATGGAAATTTAATTAGAGAAATGATTGCTCAAAATGTCTCGCACGCGGACATTTCCACAAATTTATTACAATTAGGTGGCGCAGCAAGGATGTTCTGAAATGAGTGTCAGGAGATTTTGTGCACATCACAACATTTCCAGGAGGGGACATGTATCCGACACACAATTAGAGGTTGCTATCAGCAGGGCAATAAATCAGGTAGGCCTAAGTTATTTTGGATTTCTTTGATTTACAGAGGTGGGTAGTAACAAGCTACATTTGCTACGTTACATTTACCTGATTAAGTTTTTGGATGAATTGTACTTCTAAGATAGTTTTACATCATCTCCATACTTTTTACTTTTACTTGAGTAGATTTGTGAAGAAGAATGTACTCTTACTACACTCCATTAGGCTACACTGAGCTAGTTACTTTTTTCTTTACCCATTCACTATTCTACGCATTATTATTATTATTATTATTATTATTATTATTATTATCCCCCCTACGCATCAATTTAATGTTTTATTTTGTCAGACAGAGGGACTTCCGCCATAGGCTCTACCACCTGACTGTGTTTCACCAATCACATTTGGAAATGTGTGTTTCTTGTGCTGTAATTTGTTATTTTGTAAATATTTAATTTATTTTTCATTTTTATTTATTCTATTATTTTATTGATTGGAAGTACTCAAATTTACCTGAAGATTAGTATTTTGTATTTTTGTCTGATTAAATGCATGTCTTCACAAATTAATCAGATGTTACTCAACAGTTGCTCAGTACTTCAGTAGTTTTTTCCCCCCCCCAAGTACTTTTTTACTCTAACTCAAATATTATTTGGATGACTACTTTTTACTTCTACTTGAGTCATATTATGCTGAAGTAACAATACTCTTAAGTACAATTTTTGGCTCCTCTACCCACCTCTGTTGATTTATTTCTAGACTATATATATTTTATGAAATATAAATCCATGAAGACTAGGCCTACATGTTACAGCTTACTTATGTTGATTCATCAGACAGGGTCAACATATGGTCGAAAGATGATGACCGGGTACCTGTCTGCAATGGGAGTGGTTGCTGGTGAACGCCGGGTGGGGAAGATTTTGAGAACAACTCATTGTCCCTATCACGAAATGCGCAAACGTGTAAGTATCTTTTGCAAGCCTTTAATGTTGTGGTATATTGTATAATGTATTTTACTAGCTAACTTTTACTTACTTTTCCCCCAAAGGGTGCACGTAACCTTAACCCCGTCCCCTACAGTGCTGCATACATGGGACACAAAATCCACATCGACCAGAATGAAAAATTGGTCATGTTTGGAGTGACACATGTTCTCGCAATAGATGGGTACAGCAGTAAGGTCGTTGCCCACGCAACCATGCCAGTCAAGAATAACCTCACGATATATGAAGAAGTTTACAGGTTAGTCCAGTACTTCTTAACTTTTCTTTTCTCAACCTTTCTCTGATTTCAGAATCCAGGTCAAAAATTCAGGCAGGCGTAATTTTTTGTGAAAAAGTCCATGGAAAAGTTAGTCTTTATACATATGTACTTTTTTTTTTACTTTGTATGTAATATAAAGACTAACTTTTTCTCACAACTTCACTTATCTGCAAGTTTTTTTGTGACTTTGTGACTTTTTTCAATTTTTTTGACATTTTTTAAAACTGTTTGTGACTTTTTAGAAAAACGGTCGAATCCATATAACAAACTATTATACGTTATATGGATTCTAACGTTTTTTTTGTCTTTTGTATTTGTGATAGGCATACTGACCCATTATTTCTCAAATGGGGGTCCGTGTACCCCAAGGGGTACTCTGAGGTACAACAGGGGGTACATTTTGGATTGACCAAAAGCACTGTAGTTGTTAAATAATAAAATGAATCCTGAAAAATACAGTGCTTTCGGTCAATCCAAAATGTTAATAAACCTCAAACCTGAAAGTAAAAGTAAGGTTTTGGCTTTCTTAGAATCTGTGTGCACAATTATTAGGCAACTATAAGTGTGTAGAACTATTATGCAACTGAATGAAAAATGAAAATGTTCCCATCTCACCTGTTTACATTCTTCTGTTAAAGTGAGAATAATAAACAAACAACTCAAAATTTCCAAATAAACATTTCTGACAGTAAAAAAAAAAAATCTGTGACCAATATAGCCACCCTTCTTTTCAATAAGTCACAAAAACGGTGCACTAGTAGATTGCAATATTGTTGGTCTATCCTACATTGCGGACTCAACATTTGATTGAGTCATGTTTCACTATTTTACAGATCAGCAGTTCTTGAATATGGGATGTGGGACCAGGTCAGGGTGGACCATGGCCGGGAATTTTACTTGTCCCTCTACATGCAGGAGATGCTGTCTAACCACAGACACAACTTGCAAAGGCAACCATATTGCCAAACTCAGTCAACAAAGGTGAGGTAACGGTCTCCTTAATGTACAAAATGTGGGGGGGGGCGCTACGAGGAGATCTGGCAAAAAAACACTGTGGTGAGTTGAATATCTATAGCATATCACCCGATAGGACACAACTTTGTGCAAACCGAAATATCACTTTAACCAGATGCACCCTTGAGTGGGGGTGCTTGTAGGTACCCATACGCATCAATGGTCCTGCTCCTTGGACTCCTAATCAAACCTCTTCATACTGTCTGTAAACTTTTTACATCTGATATAATCCTGTTTCCTCTCACCATGTTGATTTTGCAGACTAAATGTAGTGGGGATTCTTTTAATTGAGTATTGTTTTTATATTATCTACCTTTTAGTTTAAAAGAAAATCTACCCTTTTCTTGTCTACAGAATCATACGGGAGAGCGAATGTGGGTAGAGATAAATAACCGGGTAAATTACCCAGTGAAGGAGGCCCTCATACAGCTGCAGGATCAGGAAGTCCTCAACATGGATGACAACATGACTAGATACTGTACATCTAACCTTACTGCTGAGCTTTGCAAGATTGGCATAACAAGAGCTGTACATGCATGGAATGCACACAGAATCCCAGGTGAGTTAAATAAAAAAAACATGTATCACACAATCCAGTCCTTTTTTGTGAACTTTTTATTTTAAAGTTGACAGTGAATTTTAACCATAATCACATTTTGTGACCTATGCTTTGCTTCACAGGCAAAGGAACACCCAATTGTTCGGCAGCAGGAGGATGTCCAAAAAAACTGGGAGAGTAGTTGTTGCCCCATGCCTCCCAAGCAGCAGACATGTACCAGCAGGATGTTGGCTCTTCACTGACTAGAGTCTCCTGCTTTGGAACTGACCCCTTCTCAACTGAGGAGGACAAAATATCAGCAGAACAACTTTTTGCTGTAGAGTACCCTGATATTTCAGTTTTATTAGATAATGTGGTAAACTATAACTTTGTACCTTTTCAAGATGCATTGCTGTATCTGATAAACATTACGCAGCAATATGCATGAATGTCAAATAAAGACAAGTTGGTTCTGGATATACTGTATATTTTGTTACTTTCCTTTAACAAATAAAATCAAACACTTGCTAAAATTGCAACAATAGCAATGTTAAACATTACACAATATTTGTCTTAAGTGCAACATGAAATACAAAAAATGTATAAAAATAAAACTATTCTGTTTCCTCTACAGCTGTTGAACAAGTGCAAAATTACAACTGACTTTAGAACAAGGCAATTAGCTAGATGTAACAGAGGTAATCAAGCTTAAAGCATAGAATGTGATACAATCACACTTAAAGGGTTAATCCATCTTAATTACACCAGCCAATATGGAGAGAACATTGTCAAGACTAGTCAGCCTGTGTACATTGACAGAGAACTCGTGCCCTGCATTTGAGGCACTGGTCGGATGTCAGCATCCACTGGTCAACGCAGTTTTTGCAGCCAACAAAGTTTTTGCAGCATACGGCAATCACAGGCTCTTTCATTAGCCCTGTTTGATGAAAAAAATAAAAAGGCACAATACATATGCAATATTAGAGTTCAATATATTATCTTGTCTTTACTTAAAGGAACAGTTCACCCAAAAATGAACATTCTGTCATCATCTACTCACCCTCATGCCAGTTAAAACACAGGTGTAGTTTGTCCATATAACACACAAGGAGGTTACAGCACTACTGGAGAGCAAGTGGGTCTCCATTGACTTCAACACAGTGCATATAAAGTCAATGGAGACCCACTTGCTACTTGTGTTTTAACTGGCATGAGGGTGAGTAGATGATGACAGAATTTTCATTTTTGGGTGAACTGTTCCTTTAATCTACATATTACATATGTGTAAAAGCTTGGCAAGGGACAGTTTCACTATAACATGGAAAAGCAAAAATTAATGATTGATTCACTTGAACATTCAACTAGATCCTGCTTAAAAGGTAGATTTTAATATAGATCAAACAACAAATTATGTTACAGACATTTGCATACAATACAACCAAAGGCAGTCTTTTATGACTGTGGTGACTTCACTCAGTCCTTGAGCAGCCAAGATCACTTCTTCTATTTTATCATGGACCCCCTGAAGACCTGTGGAGTCCATATCTTTATTACTACAAGGAGGGTTAAAAACAAAACCAAAAAACAAATGTATTATACAATATTCATATAACTCTTGTTTTTTTGTTTTTTTTTAAGAGAGATGTTATTTAAAACAATATAAAGACAAATATTGATAGGCAGTAACTCAAATGTTTACCTCAGTTTCTTTCCCTTTGTTCCTTGCTGGAACTCATGGAAAATCTGCTCTGGGACAGCAAGAAACTTTTTTGCATTTTGCTTCCAATACTTGGATCCTAGCAAGAGAGGAAGACAAATCATGTAACAGATATAATGTAAACACATTTACAGCTGAACAGAATACTTTGTGGGTCCAAAAAAATAAGAGATAAAGAGAGCATAGTATTGAAGTAGATGGGGCATGTAGTTTATCAAACAAAGCATTTTCATTTATTTTAATGCAATTATTCATTTTTTCAATTAGTACCTCTTGTCCCTTCGGAGTCCACAATCTCATTTCCCTGGGCATCAGTCAGGATGAGAGGGTCATCACTCTGCAGGGCATCATGTATTTTTGCAAGGATACCTGTGGTTGTGGCTTCAAACTCAAACAGTCTGAGTACAACCATACGGGCAGGCTTCAGTTTCCCCTGGCTGAGCTCAGCAATGAAAACAGACCTAGAAAGATTGTTGTGGGAGTGGTTTACATCAAGTCAAATCAATTAATTCCATCTCAAACACATAGCCTACATTACAATTGATCCAATTACAACTGATTCAAGTTTTAAAATTATCTTGGTTACAAAGGATCACAAAAACAAATACAATGATGTTGATGTATTCTTATGTAGCTAGCCTTGGCCCAAACGAACCCCCTTTTTAATATGTAGCTTGCTAGTCAAGGGTAGGGGCTCTGAAGTGATGGAACTGGGGGTACCTTTGGAAGGTGTTACTCATGCTTGCTCGCGGGGTAGTGGGAGCAATGGTCTGAGCAGGTGATCCTAGAGCAGCAGTGGGCTGTGCTATACGATGGAACTGGAAACGGTTCTGGCCTGACAATGGAGGAGTCTGCTCGGCGACTGGTAGAGCAATATCATCCCCATGAACCTCATAGTGGCCACGAGGTCTCAGGTCCAAGCAGCTGAAATGTCCAGCCGATCCCGGGAATATCGCCACATTGTCATCATCAGTTATGTACAGGCTAGGAGCATATACCTTTGAAAGAAAACATTGAGAAGCCTTAATCAGTCAGCTATTCATGTGCTATGCAAAGCATCCTTTGATTTTAGCATGTTCTCCAAGCAAACGAAAAAAGTGTTACTTACCTGGAATATTCTGGCGATTTTGTCTCCAATCATGTCGTCCTCCTTAAGCGTTAGCCTTTTGTTTCCTTTAAAAAGGATATAACTGGTTGAGTCCATTGCGCATGAGGGATTGTTACCGTACCGACACCAAGTTGAAATTAAACTGGACGAGCACCGTGACCTTCCTGACCCTTCCTGACAAGCGGACCAATCCGCGCGATTATTTATTTATTTCCGGGCCACAGACTGAAAAGCGTAAAAATTGAAAATTGAAAATGGAAAAACAGAAATTTAATGCCTTTCCCCGAAAACTAAAATTTGAGTCAGAAAATGCAATAGTTTTTTTAAAAAAAGGTAATTAAATAGTTGTCCGATTTTTGTTTCAGAAATGGAAATAGAAAAAATGGCCCTAAATTTGTTGTTTGATTTGCGTTTCAGAATTGGAAATAGAATGAACGGAAGGTACACGGACCATAAAAGACCAAGAGATTGAAGATTTGCTTATTTTTTTCTGAACCCCATTGCAACTTTTACCCAAACCAGTTTTTAGTGTCTCCATATTTCCAAAGTTCCATGAAGCCTTGGGATAACAGCAGATGTTTTGATGAAACTGAATCCTTTTCAACTCTAAACATGTATGCTCGGCTGGTGCTACCCAAGCTGAATCAGTTTCTGTTTGCACCCACTGGCAACTTTCTGTAAAATTTGAATGCATCTACAGATCACCTTAAGTTATCTATACACATCTTGAGGCTGATGTTCTGAAGTAGCTACGTTTAAAATCATTTTGGACAGATGTTAAACAGATGTCCCTATGTGGTGTGCTGCCTCCTATGGTTTTTGTGCCCTCAGTAATTGCCTGCAGATTTTGTAGCAGATGGGTAGACTAGAGGAAACATATTTTACTTGTGTGAAATCAGTGAAGTATAATTATTGCTGTATTTGCTCTTACTTGACTGTTTTGTAACTTTGAGAATGTTAGAGGAATATTTGCACTATTGTAGACTACAGGACTTACCTTTGTCTACATGAGCACAGTGCCTAACACTTACTGTAATGGCAAAATTACTCATTACATTACATTACTCATGGTGAAATAACATTCTTCAGTTATATTTCACCACGTTAAGTATAACATAATTAAAATTGTGCAATAAAATCTAGGGCCCTATTATACAGCCAGTGTGTGGCGTTTTGGCACACAGCACAGTTGTAATTTTTTTGCCCAAATTGTTTAAGGGCACACTCACACTAGTAGAGTTGTTCCGCAGTGTGCTTGCATCTCTGTTAGCGCCACAGGTTTGTCTTAAAATTAGTGGAGGTGGTGGGTTCCTATTATTTGAGGACACAGACATAAACTGTGCCTTAGATCACTTAAAACCTGGTTCAAAGTCTGTGGCGGAGTATGTTTCTGCTATTTAGATGGCATATTGGAATCTTGGGCATACATACCTCACTTCCTCTGAGCTTGTTCCTAACAGCACAGGATGCTCATAAGCACACCTACTCCAAAGTTTAATATCAGTGCATTTGCTGATACATTCAAAAGTGTTTTTTTTAATGAGACAGAGGACTGAGAGATGGTAACCAACAACAATCTCTCCTCAGTGCGGGCTTGATCCAATGCGCGTTCTGTCTAATACACGCAGAAACAC